TAGGGTTTAGGGTTTAGGGTTTAGGGTTTAGGGTTTAGGGTTTAGGGTTTAGGGTTTGTGTGCAGACAGAGCACGACGTGGTGCTGCAGCGGTCTGCGTTGGATGCAGCAAAAGGAGAAACGATCAGCACGCTGCAGCAGCGGCTGCAGCAGCAGCAGCAGAAACAAAAGCTAGTTGCTGAGCTTAACCACCACACACAGGTCTCCTGCTGCTGCTGCTGCTGCTGTTGCTGCTGTTGTTCCTGCTGCTGCTAGTGCTGCGGTTGGTGTTCCGGCTGCTGCTGCTGCTGCTGCTGCGTCTCTTGCTGCTCTGCTTTGACTTGCTGTTGCGGCTGCTGCTGCTGTTGCTGTTGCTGCTGCTGCTGTTGCTGCTGTTATTGCTTCTGGCTGTCTTCCTGCTGCTGTATCTTCGGCCTTCAACGTTGAGGGTTTAGGGTTTAGGGTTTAGGGTTTAGGGTTTAGGGTTTTGTGTGAGGGTTCAGGAGACATGGGCGGCGCAGCGTTTACAGGCCTTGGAGGCATCTCATACATATGGGGGTCGTCGTGCTGCTGCTGCTGCTGCTGCTGCTGCTGCTGCTGCTGCTGGGGGCTGGGGTGCAGCAGCAGCAGCAGCAGCAGAGCCGCAGCAGCAGCGGCGAGACCTTAAGGGGGTGCCCTCGGGGGGGGGCGGGGGCTTCCTTCTCTCCTCCTCTACAAACCTCAATGCACGCGAATTAGTAAACTGCTGCTGCTGCTGCTGCTGCTGCTGCTGCTGCTGCTGCTGGTAGTGGTGGTGCTGCTGGTAGTGCTGCTGTTGCTGCTGTTGCTGCTGTTGCTGCTGGTGTAGTGGGTGTGGCTGTTGCTGCTGCTGCTGCGCCTGCTTTTTGTGTTGCCCTTGTGATGGCGATTGCTGCATTTTCTGCTGCTGCTGCTGCTGCTGCTGTTGCTGCTGCTGCTGCTGCTGCTGCTGCTGCAGGACGCAGGCCCCCCTCCCTCGCACTGGAGGACGTTTAAGTCTGCTGCTGCTGCTGAGCCTGGGTTGCTTCGGGGGGGTACTGCAGCAGCAGCAGCAGCAGCACTTGGTATTAGCGATGTCCCTGCATTTGGTTCCTCTTCTGCTGCTGCTGCTGCTGCTGCTGCTGCTGCTGCTGCTGCTGACAGCAGCAGAGACCTGAGGAGACAGCTGGAAGGCCTTTCTATTGATAGTGTTAAAAGCGATACTGCATTCGTAAGATCTGCTGCTGCTGCTGCTGCTGCTGCTGCTGCTGCTGCTGCTGCTGCTGCTGCTGTTGCTGTTTGAGTTCGCTGCTTCTGTTGCTGTCGTTGCTGTTGCTGCTGCTGCTTCAGACCGGTTGCTGCTGCTGCTGCTGCTGCTGTTGCTGCTGCTGCTGCTGAGAAGCAACGGCTGCTGACGCTTCCGTCGTTGCTGCGCCCAGCCTAAATCATCTTTCTTCACCGTTGCTGCTGCTGCTGCTGCTGCTGTTGCTGCTGCTGCTGCTGCTGCTGCTGCTGCTGTTGCTGCTGCTGCGGCTGCTGCTGCTGCTGTTGCTGCTGCTGCTGCTGCTGCAGGGTGATTTGCCTGGCTTGGGCAGTCGACGCGGCGATGCGCAGCAAACGGCTTTCGGCGAGCGGCTTATCTGCAAAGGGTTTAGGGTTTAGGGTTTAGGGTTTAGGGTTTAGGGTTTAGGGTTTAGGGTTTAGGGTTTAGGGCTTAGGGTTTAGGGTTTAGGGTTTAGGGTTTAGGGTTTAGGGTTTAGGGTTTAGGGTTTAGGGTTTAGGGTTAGCTTGAAGGTTGTTTGAGTTGTGTATGCACTTATTATTTCTCTGGCGGTGCTGGGGGTCCCCACATACTGTTGTTTGCTGCTGTTGTTGCTGCTGCTGCTGCCGCTGCTGCTGCTGCTGCTGCTGCTGCTGCTGTTGCTGCTGCAGCAGGTGGGCGTGAGCGTTCAGCATCGAAGGAAGTGCTGCAGCGAGGAGAGTCTCAGCACCGAGAACAAAAACACAAAGACAGAAGAACATCAGATAAAACTGTCAGCTGCTGCTGCTGCTGCTGCTGCTGCTGCTGCTGCTGCTGCTGCTGCTGCTGTTTCGGTTGCTGCTGCTGCTGATGCTGCTGCTTGCTGTTCATTCTGTAGTTGTTATTTTCGCTGCTTGTTTGTCTTCATATTAGAAGTTTCTCTGCTGCACCTGCTCATGTTGCTGCTGCTGTTGCTGCTGTTGCTGCTGCTGCTGCTGCTGCTGCTGCTGCTGCTGCTGCTGCTGCAGAGTTCACGCGGCGGCGTGTCTTCAAGTATACAGAGGGGCCTCGAGGAGCGGCAGCTCCTCTCAGGCATCGAGACCCCTTCCTTTGGGGCCCGCTCGTAGTGCTGCTGCTGCTGCTGCAGCAGCAGCAGCTGCTGCTGCTGCTGCAGCAGCAGGAGCAGGAGCAGGAGCAGCTGTTGTTGTTGTTGTTGCTGCTGCTGCAAGAGCAGCAGCAGCACGAGTAGCTACAGCAGCAAGAGCTGCAACGATAGAGATAGTAGGAGAAGCAGCAGCAGCAACAATACACACAGCAGCAGCAGCAGCAGCAGCAGCAGCTCACCTTGAGTCTCAGCTTGCAGCAGCAAGTAGCAGCTTCTGCTGCTGCTACTGCTGCTGCTGCTGCTGCTGCTGCTGCTGCTGCAGTGCGGCTGCTTCTTGTTTTAGAAAAGAGGATAGACAGAGAGACAGATTGCTGCTGCTGCTGCTGCAGCAGTTTTGCTGCTCAGCCCCCCAGGCCGTGCAGCAGGACCCCACAACTCGATCCCAGTACAATAAACTCGATCCCAACACCACCAACTCAATCCATACACCCCAGTAGCTGCCTATACACCCCAGTAGCTGCCTATACACCCCACGAGCTCGCCATACACCGCAGTAGCTGCCTATACACCCCAGCAGCTCCCTGTACACCCCAGTAGCTCCCTATACACCGTAGTAGCTCCCTTTACACCCCAGCAGCCCCCTATACACGGCAGGAGGTGCCTATACACCGCAGGAGGTGCCTATACACCGCAGGAGCTGCCTATACACCCCACAGCTGGTAAATGTTTGTATCAATCGAAGACGACGCAGAAACACTCGACGAGCCAGACACACATACACAAACTATTTGTATATATATATATATATATATATATATATATATATATATA